ACTCGACGGCACTTAACAACAACAACAACATGTCTTTTGTCAGACATGAATAAGTTTTTCATATAGAATACATTTTCCTTCACTGAAGTGACCCCCACTGGGTTTCCAAGGAGGTAAATCTTTACAGAAGTAGATTGCCCAGTCTTGCTTCTGCAGAGTGGCTGCTGGAGTTGAACCACCAACCTTCTGATTAACAGTCAGATTCCTTAGTCACTGTGCTACCAGAGCTCCTTAAAATCATTACACTACATTGATAAATTTTAGCATTTAAGAAAGGCAAATATTAGATTTGCATTTAAGTTAAGTTGGGGGTATTTCTTAGATTCTCTGAAGGCTATTTTATAAAACAAAATATCAAATATTTTCTGTCTACACCATAGTGTTGTATCTCCTAACTAAAATATGAAGATAGTATAAATATGCTATGTCGAGGTCAATATGAAATGTAAGGCTATAATTGCAAGCATTTACTTGATATTCAACTAAATGAATATTAAACATATTCAACTGTTCATTCATTTATAAGTGTGATTAGATTTAGTACTAGTGACTAAGCCATGGTTCCTGGCTCAAGAAGGGCACAGTCCCGAGAGGGCACAAATACCTAATGAGATTATTTAAAATGTGCTTAGTGATAGAGATATGATTTGTTGACATATTGGAGGGGAGGGGTAAGGAAAGGGAGATGACAGAATGGCTCCTGAGGTTCCAGCTTGGATGCATGTTGGTGGTTCTTAATTATCAAATATGGAAGGGAAATCTGGCTTGGGGGATGATAAGAATTTAGTTGGAGACATGATGCATTTGAGATGACTAGGGGCATCTTAGTGACAGCTGAGTAAAAAGTCTGAATTGAAGACAAGACTTAGGAGTGATCACATTGGGATACAGGAGGAGACCACAAAACAGTTGTGGTGATCCAAGAAAAGTGAATAGCATGAAAAAAGCAATGGCTTGAGTAAGGAAATCTAGAGAACTTTATGACTTATGAAGCAGAGGAGAAATTATCAGAAAAATCAGGAGAACTGGACAACATGGAGACAAAAAGAAAAGTGAGCTTCAAGTAAAGGAGAAGGATCAGTCAGCTACAGCAGAAGTTTCCAGGATGATAAGGTCTGAAAAATTCACATTGCATTTGGTGGTTTGCAGGTCACTGTTTACCTTAGGGACGGCAATTTCAATAAACTTGTGGAGGCAAAAAGCCAAAGTAATGAACTAAGGAATATTTTGTTGTTGTTGTTGTGTGCCATCAAGTCAGTTCCAACTCATAGTGGCTCTATATGATAGAGTAGAACTGCCCCATAGGGTTTCCTAGGCAATAATTCAGATCTTTTCTCCTTTTGAGCCACTGGGTAGTTCAAAACATTGACCTTTCTGTTAGCAGCTGAGCACTAACAGAAGAATGTTGAGCTTTTTATTAAGAGAAGAAGATCAAGGTTATTAAATTGTGAAATGTCATCATATATAAGTGTTGTTGTTGTTGTTGTTAATGTGCCATGGAATCAGACCTGATTCATGGCAACCCCTCCTTGGGTTTCTGAGGTAGTATCGCTATGGAAGTAGATTGCCCAACCTTCCTTCCGAGTCTTAATAATAAAATATAAGAAAACTTCCTCTTCTTTATTCCAGCTAACAACCTATTTGCCAATGCCTTCTCTAAATAGCCTATTTCATTTTATTTTTAGTGATGGTGGTCTGGGTCTCTCCCCATGAAAATTTTATTTTAAACCTGAGGTCTACAATCTCAAACTCAACTTCAGTTATGTTCAAATCAGTTGTAAAGGAGCTAGACAGCTCACCAACCTGCAGACAATAATATAACTCTCTTACATCTGATTAGGGCATTAGTGTGGTAATCAGAACACTTTCCATCCAGTTAAGTTTTTAAAAGTGATTGTGAAGTATGTATTTCAGAGCCAAACTAGTTTTAGAAGTTTCCCAACAAACAAATAATAGGAGTAGTTGTTGTTGTCAAATCAATAATTCTTTCTGAAGCAGATTGCCAGATCTGTCTTCTGAGGCACCTCAGGATAGTTTTGACCCACCAGTCTTTTGCCTAGTACTCAAGTGCTTAACCATTTGCACAACCTAGAGACTTGGTAAAAACTAACCAGCTGTGCAGTGTGCACAGTCCCCCTTTCTACAGAGGCAAGTATGAATAGACACTGATGCAAACCCAACCAGCCTTCTGTGAAGTCATCATGGCTCTCAGGGAATAGGAAAGATAGCTCAGATGTGAGGAGCTGCACCATGGGACTATCCAGGAAGCAGACAAGTGGGGAAGAAGGGCAAGCTGGAGACTGTTACTCTAAGGACAAGGGCAGGTCACTTTCTAGCTCTGAAGGCCCCTTCAACCTCTGTTGT